TACCTTGTAAGCCTTTGCAGGAGGAGCCGTATCGTTCCCGAAAATATTCATCAACATTTTGTAATCCTTCTCTTTGGTATGGTGCACTACAACAGAACTCCACGTCACATTACGGCTGTGGTATCCTCGGTAAAGATCATGAAACCGAGAGGGCGGTTCACTTACAAAGGTAATATTATTGCCCATTACTTTATGCAGCACATACCCCACCATCATGTCCTCATGATGCAAAAAAAAAAGGAAAAACTTAACCTCCTTTCCTTTGCTGTATGGCGTGTACACCAAGCGCACTAGAGGTGTGTACGACACGAACTGCTGTACCACATCCCTTGAGAGGGTATAGCAGAATCCCACAGCAAAATAGAAATTTACCTGGACAGTGTAGGTTATTAACTTTCCCCAGTGAGTCCCACTGCTTGAATTCCTGCAATTTTTAAACCATTGTTTACACCAGATTGGTTCAGGGGTACATGTCATCATCACCCTTGGCAATGTGGTTCACATTCGGGAACAGTTGCAGTGAGGCTAATATCTGGTAATATAGGTCACCATCTGTCAGATGCATGGTTACTCCTAATCAGTAGTTATTGACGTGTAAGCAGTTTCACAGACCAAGCATTGTGGTGCAAGTGGCACATTATTAAACCCTTTCCACTGCAGGAACGGAATAAGGAGGTGAGACAGTACAAAAGAGAGGAAAGAGAGCGATAAAACCAGACATTACAATAAAAAACCACCATCGAAAACAAAAACAGACCCACACCTACCATCACACAGAAACCAAATACCAAAAAAAAGACAGGAATATTAAAAGAAATAAATCACCATGTGCATATCGTGTGCATATAAACACTAAATCCACAGGGTAAAAAGTACGAAAAGAAGAAAAAATAGGTAAGGAAAAAAACAGAAGAACATTATAGCTACACACTTTCTCAACGACAATAAACGTAATAGAGATGAAATAGCAGTTATATAGAGGCTTATATGTAGCGAGATAGTACAACAAAAGCTATGACAAAAAAAAAGACATAGAAAAATAAAAGTAAGAGGTAATATTGCTTTATTAACCAAAACTATGATTATCGTCGAATTACTAATTTCTACGCATCTACCACCACACCGTATATAGTAGCCGCTGTGCCAAACACTGTGACCACCACACCAGTCATCATCAACGTGTATGTGAGCACATAGTGTCCAAACCCAACCGACTTCAGCGACCAGTTGCCACCGTACATCATAAAGA